TACATTTTAAAATATATTCAAATAGTAAAAATATTTCAAAATTGTACTGTTTTTGCTGTACTTTGGATCAAATAAATACAGGCTTGGTGAGCAGAAGAGACTTCTTTAAAAAAACATTAAAAACCTTACTGTTTAAAAACTTTTGACTGGTAGTGTCTATGTATTCGTGCATGTCATCAGTGAATTCAGTGACAAGTCATGGTCATGTTTTTGAACTAGTGTGGGGTCTGAGAAGCCCCTAAGAAGACCCAGCCAATTCTGACACTACACTTATGGACATGGACTATATTTGTGCTGAGCAATCTGTATTTGCATGTATTTGTAAATGGTGCGTTAGTGATGATACAGCGGGCGGATAACTTTACACGTTGTTATATTTGGTTCTCCACAAGCGCCTCATGTCTTTATCGTCTCTATTGTTTAAGGTAGCAAAAGAGATCATATGGCGTTGCTCTAGACGGATCTATTCCTGGCTAATGGGCAGTGTAGTAAAAGGGGAACCCGATCCTCTGCAGGATGTCTAGAAGTCAGCGGGCTGACATTTGGCCGCCGATAGACCAGTGTGTGTTTGGTTGTAAGGGAACACTAGGCCTCAGCGGAGTTGTCAAAACAAAGGGGCCGCTCTCACCAGGACTGACTTACCGACTGTCAACTTGAGTATGTGTACACTGAAAAGGTTGATTATGACAGAGGAGTGGAATATTGTGATGTGTGTGAAAGTAGCTCTCAATACTATAACCTGAAACACAAGTCGGGCTACTATTTGTTTTGGTTGGAAATATTTGGTTTGATTTTATTTGATTACAATTCTTTACTAAAACAAAACCTGAAATCTGGACATCATTTGATTTAATACAGCTTGAGTGACTAGGAATCGGGATTGGGTGAATTTCAGGTTTTGAGTAAGAAATGAACACATAATATAGGTTTTTTTTTTATTAAAAAAAAGTTTGGGAAGAGTGCATTCATTGCATATTTACAGAGCCCCCACATGACATGCAGGAAAAATATATACAATATACTATGGCCACAAATTAAAAATTTGTTCCTACGACTTATTGATTTGTTCGCAAGACTTATTAATAGAGAGATATAGCATATATATATATAGTATCTAACAGTGCAAATAGAATGTAACTACTATTCACACTTACAGTGCATTGAAAATCCTACTATTTTGCATCTATCACTATTTGCACTTGTTGCACTCGTAATTGCTTGTATTGTGATTGAATGTTACCTTCATGTATACTGAGGATATATCGTACTCTGATTTATGACATGACAATAGCAGTCAGTGGTTCATGTGCTGTATTTCACACAGTAAGTTATCCAGATGCCCTTGTCCTAAATGTACGTCACTATAAAGGCAGCTGTTTTCTTAGAGGAGGAGGGAAAAATCATTCAAGTCATATCTGGTTGGAATTCAATGACGGTATCAGTAGAAGACCTGAAGAAGAACTGTATAAATATGTTTATAATTATGCTCCGTTCCGTTACAGTGTTTTTAAATGATAAACAAATTAATTCAATATATATATATATATCTGTGATATGATTGTAATTTCCATTTAAATAAACGGGGTTGGATTTGAATGCAGTTGTTTGGGTGTTTATAGAGTTGAGCGGAGATTGACCTTCTGTACCTGTTCTTTTGAGAAGTACAGAAAATAACAGTGTTTTGTTATGCTATTTACATAGTCTCAAGGTATCTTACAGGGGAGGGGTATCTAAACTCTAAAAATGTTAATGACAGGTGTAAAAGGAAGCCAATGTTACACCAACTAAGCCCTATAGAGTTCAGTACTTGGATGCATCCACTTCTTGATATACAGCCATAGAACATTTTGAAAAGACTGCCCAGTCATGCATAGAATATCAGGGAGACTAGACCGGGAAATTGCACTTTCACTTAATTTTCTTTTTTTTCTTTAATTATATTATTATGTGTCTTGTTTTTGTTGTATTTATATGTGTGCTGAAGCTTCACGGTCCCCTTTAAAAATTCTGTTGACGATATAACTTTTCAACTATAAGTAACTTTAGGGTTAGGCGAATAAGTTGACATGTTGCAAAGGTACAAATATTCAGTAGAATGTCTCTAAAGATGTATGATATGAGTCTTTTATTTTATTTTACTGTTGCTCTAATTTTTCTCTTTGTACTGCGACACTTCTCATGTTCCTGCGTTTTTTGTATTCATCTGGATACATCTCCAGATTGAACAGATAATCTAATGTAAGTATTTTATGTAAATAACAATGTATAACAATGTCCAACAATTGCTTCAGTAGTATCTTGAATAAGATTTCAATTGAGATGATCTCCAACATGCATATGACCATAAAAGAAGACATTGTATGCGATCCCTTGTGGAAGCGCTGAGAACGCAACGCATTCATACTTCTGTCCAATTGAATGTTTGCAATAGTGTTGTAGTGTTGTATAGCACAAAAACGGCACATGTGTACCATACTTGCATTGTTTTCCAACCAAGGTATTTTTTTATCAGTCTGCTAGAGAACAGTTGTACAGGTATCAAGTCACAGGTCTACAGGTAATTTTTCCCCCCCTTAAAATTGTTTTATTTATTTATTTATTTTCATGAAATTAAAAATGTCTCTTTGCCCCTGCACTTTCGGCTCAAAATTATGCTGTGACATTTCCACAATTAGAAAAGATTTTATCTTTCAGACATCATGTTTAGTAAGGGAGTGATGCCATGAGTTTTTTCTGTTGAACTGAGGTAAGTTTATTTCCAAGTCATTATGAACAAATTCATACTTGTCGACAGTGTTGGGGAAAGTTACTTTTAAAAGTAATGCATTACAATATTGCGTTACTTCTTTAAAAAGTAACTAATTACGTTACTTAGTTACTTTTTATGGAAAGTAATGCGTTACGTTACTTTTTAAATCTGGACAGGGCTTGCTTGTTTGTTTTTAAAATAAAAAAGTTATATTTTTGGCAAATATAAAAGTCTTTTCACAACAGAAGTGAAATGAATAAGCCTCAGGCTGAAGGGAAAGCACATTTACGTCCGTACTGTAGAATGCAGAAGAAGACATTCAACACACTTCAGCAATAAAAAAAAAGACACAAATGTTTGTCTAGAGTCATTTGTGCTTATTAGTACGGTTGAACTGGATCATCGAAGGACAGAAGCAAAGACATTGGTTAATAGAATGGAATTAAATACATAACGAATATTTGTGTTGTTTAACATTTAATTATTGCAGGTTTGCGTCATATTCTGAGTTGGATTATTTTTATTAATTTTGAGGAATACTGAATCTGTGTTTTTTTTTTTGAGTGAGATGAATTAATGCATATTCATATTTATTTTAGAACTACAGTAACATCTTCTGATTTCTCTCAACACGGGGACACCAGAGCTGTCAATCAATAAATTGGGGAAAAAAAGTAACTTGCGTTACTTATTTGAAAAAGTAACTCCGATATGATCTTATAAATTAAAAAGTAATGCGTTACTTTACTAGTTACTTGAAAAAAGTAATCTGATTACGTAACTTGCGTTATTTGTAATGCGTTACCCCCAACACTGCTTGTCAAACACGTCAGTTCAACGGCTTCAATTGTTATAAACGAAAAGAGTGATCGGTTTAAAAAAAAAAAAGGCAAGAATACTGACTATATATATATAACGTCGTGTGATAAGATTAGCCATATGAGCATATAGCTAATATATGGTGCAGCGACCAGCAGCAATGATTTTCTTTCACGTAAGCTAAACCGAGAAAGCAAGATTTGTTATTTGCTAATGCTTCCGCAGCATTAGCAAGTGGTACATTCTGACAGCATTTTATTGGACAGAACTTTGTATACTCCTCTGAATAAAAAGGCAAGTTATAAATATTGTCCAGAAGAGAAAGACAGTACATTCTAAATGTGTATATATTTGATAAAAGTTTATTCAGTGGACTCTGAATGCTCCTCAAACCTAATACACACGGACTTCAACACGATAAAAGTACACTTTGGTTGAGAAGTTTTATTTAAACTAACCTAAAAATGCTTGGAGAAGGTCTCTGACACACGGCTACCCTTACAAAAAAGAAGTTTATACAAGTGTGCTATTAGTATACTTCTTTTAAACTGAAAATAGGAAAGTATACTTTGTCTACTTTTTATGTACTTCTCAGAAATGGGCTTTATGTACTTCTCAGAAATATACTTAAAATGACATTTGAGTATACTTGATGAGTATTGAAATAGTACACTTACAAGTATACTACTAGTACACTGATATTTGTATTCTTACTACATAAAGTATACTCAAAAATATACTTGAACTTTACTTAAGTATACTTACTAAAATAAACTTGAAGTATACTACTTTTTGGTAAGGGTAACAAAGATTCTCGAGAGAAGAAGAGAGAAGGACTCCCCCCCCCTGTCTTTCATACTAAGTGCGCACCTGAAATAGGTGTGTCCTCCTCATCCTTCAGCCTTCAGAGGAGTGTCTCGGCTCCTTTAAGGCAGTGAGCAGCGAGCCGGGCTGTGGAGGCAGGGGAGAGAGAGAGGGTTATTCTCTAATGCTCTGAGGCAGAGAGGGTTAGCAGCACACGAACCAATGCGATTAAAGCGCCACGCAGGAGGAAGATGCGCCTGCTTGCAGCCTGCTGGACGGCGAGAGGTGCTCAAGAAGATGGTCTGACTCTGGGATCTCACCTTTGTTCCTGCCGCTTCAGCTTCTCCGGACTTTCTTTCCATTCCCATTTCTGGTGAAACATCTATGATTTACTTTCCCCTGTTTAGTTCCTTTTCTTCCCTTTTTTTCAAAAACACTTGGTTGCAATTGGTTTAAATGACACACTTGAACGGCACCGTTGCTTTTGCTTTGAAAGTTTTCTTTCTCCTCCGCATCACCACCTGCTCTGTTGAAAGACGCTCCTGAATCAGCATCGCACCTGCATCCAGCCCCCCCCCCCCTGAAGCACAGCAGCATCCGGAGAGCATCCGAGCCTCTGGGATCTCACCTTTGTTCCTGCCGCTTCAGCTTCTCCGGACTTTCTTTCCATTCCCATTTCTGATTAAACACCTATGATTTATTCTCCCCTGTTTAGTTCCTTTTCTTCCCTTTTTTCCCAAAATACTTGGTTCCCCTTGGTTTAAATGACACACTTGAACGGCACCGTTGCTTTTGCTTTGAAAGTTTTCTTTCTCCTCCGCATCACCACCTGCTCTGTTGAAAGACGCTCCTGAATCAGCATCGCACCTGCATCCAGCATCCCCCCCCCTGAAGCACAGCAGCATCCGGAGAGCATCCGAGATTTAACCAAGACAATCACACTAGAACACCCGCACATCCTTCATGCGCAACGACCGGGCGCAAAAGCGCACACATAATACGCACGGTGGAGATCCGCTCAAGTCGCTGGCACAGGAAATCTGGACTGGCTTTTGTTTGAACCGTTTTACCTTTGGCATTCTGAGTGGGGGACCAGGAAAAAGCAGTGGACAAAGTGTGCGGAGTGAAAAGAGGAAAATCTAGCTTGGGGATTGAACGCAGCGGGGCATGTGGATATTGGCATTTCTCTTTCTCCAGAGCATCCTGAATGGTTAGTCTTAATTTTTTTTCTTCTCTCCTATAATTTCAAACTTCATTTACTCTCATCAGGACATTCTGGAAAAGGTGTACTGTATGCAAATTCATGTCAGGGTTTTGAATGGTGTCACGGGTGGTCACCTATAGGCTGGGAGACTTTCCCTCCTCTAATCATTTATAAAATCCACCTTATTAGTCACATTATGGCCTTGATGATGCCAGCGCTATATAAGCACTGCGTACTGCAAAAGCTCCCAATAATGATTCCTGTGTGCACACACAGGGGCCTCCGGCAGGTATTGCACAGGTTTCTTATCGGTTGTTTTACGCATGGGGAGATGCTAATGAATGTGACCTCTTGTTTATCACACTTGAGTGTTTTAGAAGCTACTCATCCATGCGCTTTTCGTTTTCAATAATGTTGCACATCCTATTTTAAAGGTCTTATTTATTTATTTCATTTGGATCCACAATGACTGACGTATTTAATATTGGTTATGTTTGCTGCGCCCTCCCTCCTCCGTATAACTGTTTTAAATCAACTTAGTTGAATTTCATTATGGACGGCAAGAATTTGTTTAATTGATAAAGGCTTTATTTTTTTTAGGTGATTTTAAATAAACGGAGGCATTGCATTTAATTGGTTTATTAAATAATCACAATCATTTGATGGCAGATCATTAACGCTGTGGATATTTAAACATTTAAGATGGGCACGTCAGATGAAGTTATTACATCCAGTTATTTTTGTAACACATCCCTGTTGTGCACTTGAGCCTCACAGTGGGTGGATAGCAGTGGGGGGAGAAAAAAAAGCCATTTGCTTTATTTAATTGAATCCTTTTCATATGATATCATACAGCTGTATTTACAAAACCTATCATATTTTTAGCAACTCTATTTTTTTTTAGATTATGTTTGTTTTAAATAGCTTGCTGACCATGCTTTCAAAATTGCATATCTAATGTGAGACTTTTTCATATGAAGCATATAAAAATGAATCAGTAATGTAAAAATATAAAAAGATTCATAAGACAAATGCAGGGCAGTAGCTGAAAAATACTACACAACGCCTTGATAGCTGTGTGTATGTGTGTGCACTTAAGGGACTGCGCCTGCGTGGATGCATATGTGTGCAGCGAGAAATTTAAAGCCGTCTTTTATATTTTTTTAAGGCCAATTGTGCCTTAAGCATGATTTTCCTATCTTTCTTACCTGTTTTTAAATTCTGCACCTTCGCACCAGTGTAAAAAGGTGTGATTGGGCTGAACTGGAGACATGGTCAGTAGGTGCAAACATGGAAGGGTGTGTACATAAGGAGGGAGCCATGGAGGGAAAAACAGAATGAAGCGAGACGGGAAAATAGAATTGCAGACAGATAGACATTGTCGAGGGAAGGTTACTGCATGATGCAAAGAAATAACAGAGACCCGTGCTTTGAAAAAAAAAAAAAAAGGTTTGAGGATTTGATGTAAAATGGCTATTGGGCAAACGCTGGCACGAGTCCTCAATGCGAAGCTTTGAATGGCAGTCATTTTGAAGCGGCGAGGATGTTAAGAAAGCTCACCCTCAGAAAACAACACAAATAATCCTCCTCTTCAGAGGAGGGAGATAAATACACCCCTACTCTTGCTGTTTGAGCTCCAAACGCCAAGCTCTCCAAGGCATTTCTCACTTCGGGCAAATATGAAATAAAAAATATTGAGATGTATTTTGTAATAACTTTGAATTGAAATTGCACCACCTTGCCATAGCAGAAACTCATAAAAGAGCAGTAAGAACTCATCAGTCACCATCGCCTAGCAGAGCAGACAGTGAAATGAGATGCTCACTAGCTTTCCTGCTATTGCTGGATGTGCTTTGGCTTTTTTTTGCCGTTCCTGTATTCTCATAAAATCAGCACATATCTGATGAGTGTGCAGTCTTTAAAAATGTCATTCTTCATTTTAAATTAGATGTTGACATCTTCATTTATTCATTGTGGAAAAGTTAGGATTATAACTAAGTAAGATTGGTTCCGTGTCCTTCTGTATGATCTAAGAATAAACAACCTTCCCGTTTATAAGTGGCCACTTTCTCATCTCAGAAAGCAACTGTATTCTAGAAATTTCGAGCCTGTAGTCTGGAAGGTTTATCACATGCTGCTTGGCCTGTCACTATGGAAACCTCTATTATTAGAGCCATAGTTGCGTATCAAATAAAGCCGTTGTGTGAATGAGTGACCCTTGACGTTTAATAAAAGGGCACAGATTGAAGAGGAATCTTATAGGTTTGAATGCAGATAGCATTTATCGGTTGTTATTTTATTAAGGATCAATGTTTTGAATAATAAATATCACATTAATATTAGATAAAAAAAAAATCCTGTTAACTTCAACCATTTATGATTTAAAAAAATATTTCGAACTTTTTAAGAGATGGTGCTTTTAGTCATATGTGCAGCATTGTCTAACAGATATTGTTTTTTTCTGTGAACACGAAAACGATACTCTACAACTGCTGCATGTGCACGACAGCCATGTCGTGCAAAGAAATGCAATTGCTATAACTATAGCTAACAGAATATGTTTAGCACCTTGATTTACAGCAAAACAGATTTGAGTATAAATGAAGACAGTGAGTACAAAAGCTGTTTGGGACGAGGAATGTGTTACTCGAAAATTATAATCCGTCACTTGTTGTCCAGAAAAAAAACATGCAGGCACGACGGATTATAATCTCAGCCGTATTAAAACATGCTGTTGGATTATACAGTCCTGACGGTAACTGTTATACTAACAGAATTATACAAATTAATCACAACCATATGAGTCAGAATAATGACTTCATTTCATGTTTACCTGGGATTTCTTCAAGAGTCTAAGGAGAAATGCGAGGAATGATTTGAGTAAATTTGGCTGTGTGGAACTGTGCGTTTGGTGGGAGTTAATCTATTGGGGGCAATTAAGGCAGTTTGCTGATTAGAGGCCCATCTGTTCAAGTTTGTTAGACAGTCCTGTAAGACCTGTGCCCTGCAATCCTCTGTTACCTATTTAAAGATTCTGAGTTGGCGTCCTTAACACTCCTCCCCAAATGCACACAGTATAATTTTTTTGCTCATTTTGTTCAGTTGTTTATTAATGCAATTCATGCATTAGTTGCTTCAGCTTCTGCGGTTAAACAGGATATTTTCCATCAAGACGAGACTCTGAATGAGTCAAACCACCCACTGACTTTAACGTTAGCCACTGATTTCACCGGTTGTCTTTGAATAATATTAGATTACACCGTTTTCATGTGTTTACTTAAGGGCTGTAGACTGTTTTGAACCCTTTAGGGTGAATGAAGGATTGTAATTTGAAGTGTTGTTGAAGTCAATACAACTCCACACTGTAAAAAAAAATCTGTAGTTTTTACAAAAACAATTTGGCAGCTGTGGTTGCCAGACTAATTTTGTAAAAAATACAGAAAAACAGTAAACACATTTACGGCCAAACCCTGTACATTTTACAGTATAAAACTGTAATTTACAAACAAGAAAATGTGAATGTAAACCAGTAAATTCAACAATGCACACTGCTATTAAAATCTGTTTTGTACCTTTAACATACTGACAACCACCATCATAATGCAGGTGGTTAAAGAGAAAGCCACATGAAGAATCAAAGCTCATCACAAGTAGCTTCACCACAAGCAGAAGTATATACTAATATATAGAAGGTGCACAGAGTCATTCATGCAAACACAAAACACCATCATGGTAACACACATGATACTTAAATAATGCATTCAACTTTCATTAAACAACAGAAGATGTAACATAAAGCCCAAATATACATAACTAATAACAAAAACTAAAAAAAAACATAATTATTTAAACAAAATACTTTCAAATGTGGAGTGTCATACAGGGAATTCTGGGAATATCGGTTTACAGTTTTTGACTGTAAATTATACATTGATTTGTTATTTTTACTTCTAAAAACTGTAAAATTAACAGCATTTTACTGTAAAATTACATGAAATGTCTGGTTAGATATTTTACAGTTTTTCCCTGTATATAGTACGGGAACTTACTGTTAACCTATTAACAGTTTTTTTCCGTAGCGTTTTTACAAAATTTTACAGTTAAAATTACACTTATTTTTTACAGTGCACCACTAAATGCAATAGGACAGTTTTATTTCAATGAGCTGTATTGCTAAAATTGACCAAATTTGTTGACTGAGAAATCCTTTGCTGTTGTCTGTTCTTCAGAGGACAAACATGTTTAGAGGTCATTTTGAGGACAGCATGGAGAAATAATAGTCCTGTCACATTATGATATCAGTTTTATTCATTAGGCATGAACTGTTGTTTAATTTACTGTAAATTAATTTCGTACTTAATTATTTGTATTATTCGAATAATATATAGTTATTTTTATTCATGCCGCTTTAGATGAATTTATATAGCTAAAATGATATTTCGATTCTAATGAATGCAAATTTAAGTGAACCATCAAGGTTTATTATTATAATTATTTAAATTTAATTCATTATTTAGTACATTTACAGGTGGCTGCAAAATGCATGTTTCTCACCTATAAAAGTCTAGAGAAAGTCTGTCACTAAAGTATTTTTCTTGTTTTTACAGTGAAAACGTAACATTGATTTCTTTGGAAATTATTAATTGCATTTTAAATAGGCCTAGTTCTCTACATTTTGTTTTTAATCAACATCTATTTTAGCTTACACTCTCAAAACACTCCTAAAATCATAAATTATTATTATTAATATTTAACAAATGCAATATAAATCATAAAATTATAAGGGTTATATATTTTTTTTCTGTGACAAAATATAGCTGATTCCTTTTTTTAATTGACAAGGATTATGTAATAATAATAATAATAATAATAATAATAATAATAAAATCCTCCTTTTGGCTTAATCCTTCCAAGATTTGTAATAAATGACATCTGCCTTATATATTTTTTTTCTGTGACAAAATATAGCTGATTCCTTTTTTTAATTGACAAGGATTATGTAATAA